ACAAAGACATAATATAAGAAGAGCTACTGATATAAAATCTCTTCAATATTGGAAACTTTTTTAATTTCCATAGTTTTTCCGAGAGTGATGCGAGCCCGCGTGATAAATCCATTTTAAATAATTTGACAAAGCAGTGTTGCAATCAACTCCAATATCTACCAGACAATTTTGAAAAGGTTCTATATTGCATGATGTCTTTTAAATATGAAACTAAATGCTGAGACAACTTGGACTGATCTAAAATACTTCTAACCGTTAAACATTAAGAACGTAAATGTATTACATGTACGTTGTATAAATGTTATTCCCTTTTATATCAATTCAAATCAATTCAATTCAAATGCGTATTGCCAAATAAACTTTAAACAATAAGTTTGTGACGATAACAAAATAAGTATACAATATAACTGTAGTTCACATAAATATACACAATCAGTTAATAACAGTAAATAGTCCAGAGTCAAATGTCCTCAGTTCTAATGACTTTTTAATAAAGGACCCCAATGTATTTACTGGTGATGGTGTTTATGGGGTGATCTTTTCTTGATCAGACAAATCTTTAACAGAAAAGTTTATTTCCAAATTATCAAAAAAGTTGTTTCTCAGCTCCTTATTTAATTCAGAATCTAATAAAAAATGTTTTTCATCTTCTACATCATATACAAGGCAATTTTTTGATAATAAATAATACATATGTAAGAATAAGTAGATGTGGTATGATTGCCAATGAGACAATTCTGTACCTTTATGAAGTTCGTTTTTCTATTATTTTGTTCTGTTTCCGTTAACATTCTACCAATCAACTAACTCTTTCCCTCGTAATTGATTTTTGTACTTTTTAATTGTTTTTTTTTTGTGTAAAAATCTCATGTTGCCCCTTGTGAGCCCAATGTAAATTCCATTCGAAACATATTTGGTTTTTAGTAAGCCGTTCCAGTTGATTAAGTTGGTATTTCAATCATCGGGTACATTTTTGTAAAAATCATGGAGTTAAAATATACCCAATTGTACGACTTTGCTCCCAGCAGAGCTATAGAAACATTACATTAACGGCTGTTACACGGACACTTTTTATGAAGTTGCACGGACACTTTTATGATAAGAGTCACTCGTGCATTGAGTCAGTACATAGGCACTTTATCGTACACCTTGTAACTCAATTAACAGTTTTTATAAAAAAAAAATTATGTGAAAAGTGTTCATAAAATTTGCATTTATAGCAAAGCTATTTATGTCTAAAAATGCTGAAATTAAATAAAGTCTCTACGAATTTACTGACTGCAAGAGTCATAAAATGTTCCATATACAAACCTTTCGTCGGTTTGATTTATAGAAATTCGGTTGAAATCTTTCGAATCGTCAAGATCGAACTAATCGCAAAACTAATTTTCCTCTTTTCTTTTCATCTTCAGGGACACAAGTCTAATTGTGAAAGCGTAAAATAAGACTCAACATCAAATAAACTACCACCAATTTTGGACATGACAAAAGTTTTGTCACGTGATCAATACTTGGGTCTACTCGAATATCACATAAAAGTAATGAGTTCAAAAATTCACTGAAAAATTATATTTCCTAAATACATGTATGTGTATCCCCCCAAAAAAACAAGCCAAAATCCAATATTTTGCAACACATATCATTCTTCATAGCAAGAGGAACAGCTTTTATTTTTTAGATTTGTATGTTTTCTTCATTTCATTGATTTAATAGCTATACTTGTTTTTACGTTTGTCTGATTTCTCTTTCTTATTTAGTTTTCATACTTCATTGATTTGTAAATGTCTTAAATTTATTATTCATATTTTTGTTGTTTATTTTATTTGTTTGTACGTACGTATGTTGTTTATTTGGGAGTGGAGGGGCGTATGAGCCGTGGTAGGGGCAACTGTCCTCAATTTAAAATGGAGTGGGTGCATATTTTGTTGGAGTGGATGTCGTATATATATGCAGAGGCATAGGAGTCGATAAAATGGATAATACCCGCTTCACACACTTTCAAGAGTAAGATGCAAAACTATGTCCCCCATTCTGCACAACTTTTTGGAACTTCTTTTGTTGTTATTGAAATACACAATAGCTACCATAGCGGACATTTACGTACTTCTAAAATACTAGACTAGATTTTGTTTTGCTTGTCACTTTAAGAAGTCTCGCCCCTTTTCAATCTACTTCTACGATCCCGATATGTATCAAAGTAATTATAATATCAACAATAATTTTACTCGGACACAGCTTGAAGAATTATGAAGCTGTAGTGTTCAAGTTAAGTTCACACTGACGATCAGATCAACTCGATTAAGCCCGATCAAGACAGATTAAGTGATCGGGAGACTGGTCTGACTCAATCTACGTTTTTCGGGGTTGTCTACCTTGCTCGTCATCGATCTGACTTTCTACCCGAGAATTTTTGACATGTCAAAAAAATTCGAGTAAGGATCGAGAAGCCAGTCACACGAGAAGAGATCGGGAATTCGTCGAGTAGCGGTCGAATTAATCGGGAAAGGATCGTGTAGAGATCGAGTTTGGTCGGAATACAAATATTTTACCGATCAGTACTCGATCACCTCGACCTTTGCTCGTCTAATATCCGATCATTTCCCGATCAACGCCAACCTGTTTGATCTGTGGTCTAGATTAACTCGACCAATGCCCGATCGCATCTAGAACACTGCGACTTCTATTATTTTTGATCCCAGACCAACTCGACCAATACCCGATCTCTACGCGACCAAATTCGACCACTCTTCGATCTCTACTCGGTCATACACGAGTACACATGACTGCTACACGATTCCTTAAAAGGGAGTGCAGATCTTATTTACTCTCTGCAAAAAAATATTGTCACTGTTTATTTTTAACTGTATAAAAGATTAACTCCGCAAAAATTCCTCCATGTACAGTACTTGTCTGAACTTTTGCAAGGATCTCAGGTGCTCCGGAAGGGAAGCAGATCCTGCATTTTGGCCCCGGAGGATTTTTCAAATATGAAAGTAATTGTGCAATAAAATTCATTTTTAGACAGCTGACGACTAATGTAGCCTTCATAGTGGGTTTATTAGAATATCAATATTATTTTTTACCTGTTTTATGGGCTATTTTCTGTTTGACTGTCCGTATTTTTCGTAGGTCCAGAAATATTTGTAGTATAAAAATAAGAAGATGTGGTATAATTGCCAATGAGATAACTCTCCACAAGACACCAAAATGACAAATGATTTTTATTTGATCTCTTGGTAGATATATGTAAACAGTTTCAGAAAAGGTATAACTCCAAGGGATTGAAATTCTACTTTTGGCCAAATTTTGGGGAAATATGTGACATCTTTACCCCCCTTTTTGCAATATTTTTAGCAAATACATACAGGTTGTTGCCATGGATACACCAAAAAGAAATTATCTTTAAACCATTCAACTACTGGATATCAAATCTATGGAAAATACTGATTACATACATATGCACATATATGAAACAAATAAGCTCAATTTGTAAGAAAGCAAGGAAAAGGGGATGGTAAAATTTATGTATACTGCTATCTAACTTAAGTAACAATCTAGTGACAAATCTCATTTGGTGGTGTATTTTCAAACAAAGAGCAGTAAACTCTCATAACATATCAGCGTCCACTCTGAGGAAGTTTTTATAATCATTGGGGTCCTCTTTGTTGAGCTCCTGCAAGTCTCTCATACTGCCCATACAGTGGTTGCCGTGTCAGCCACTGCCTCACCTAGATTTATCGGGGCCCGTTGCTGTCTACGCCTTCTTGTTCGTCTTCTACGTTCTCTTCAAGCTCCTTCACAGCTTTTAACCTGTGCCACAAATCCAACTGCTTTATTTCCATGTAGATATTTTAAATGTATGATTTTACTCTGACCTTCAGTGAACTACTGAATCTAACCAACTAAATTGAGAATGTATCCATGGGACACAGATAATGCCCCCCGCTTGCATATAACGTTATAAAGGGTCATTTCTCAAGAACGGTAAAAGTGACGCCAACCAAATTCGCACTTCAAATTCGCACTTGATCTGTGTTTTATGGTAATAAGCATTGTGTATACGTTTCATAACAGTTGGTTGAGGCAAAATAAAGTTAGAGAACGGAAACTAATTGTTGGCACGTACGTACGTACGGACGGACAATGGTAACACTTAATGCCTCCTCCGCTGCGCCGGGGCATAAAACATTCAGACTTTTTTTATACTGAAATTGTACATACCCGACCAATTCATGACTATCCCTACGACCCCTTTACGATCAGGTCGATCTGGTCTGGTCGAGATCGAGCTGAAATTGAGTATAGTTGATTTGGTCTAGCTAGTCAATTGAAGATTGTGTGGAGATCGTGAATTGGTCGGAATAATCGAATATGTATTCAATTAGTGATCGGATTTGAGTCGTGATGGAGTCATTAAGGAGTCGTGAATGGTCGAGTTAAAGTCGTGTACAGTCGGATAGCGGTCGAGTAGAAGTAGTAAACAAGGCCGATAAAGAATTTGGTTACGCTTGGTCGTGGAAATTTGGACAATCGGATCATCGAGTTGATCTGATCGGCAGTGTTAACCTAGCTTACGCAAAATCCCTAATTTATTAAAGATTAAATATCTCTAAACATCGTTGTACATAGACAAGTAACTATGTGTTTAATCTTTTTAACTATGCAGTAGTCTTCCAAATGCATTACTTTAAATTAAAAACGTTGTACACGTCACATACAAAACAAAAGTAACGAAAGAAACGGGCTGGTAACAACCAGCCGTATATTGACCGAACTACTCGTGCAGAAAAACTATACGACAACGGCTATTATATTACTAGCCTCTTTGTTTTGTTACCTTTGTTCTGTATCTGATACTTATCGTATCATAATAAAACAAGGGGAAATCAAATAACTCCGTGAACATGGCAGTCGTGTTTTTTAAATAGACGTTTTCAGAAAATTACTATGACCTACATTTTATGTATTGCATAACCAGGATAACATAACTTACCGATCTATTTATTGATTTATTCATTATGCATTAGTTACCATAATGTAAATGTGGATATGTACATTGTTAGCGTAAAGGTAAGTGTACATGTACATTTAAAACTGTTAATTTACAGTAAAACAATTTAAAGTAAACAATTTATAGAATGCGACACGTATCTTATGAATACTTATATATATTCTCGAGGGGGAATGTGGGGAGGGCGCACTTCAATAATTTTTGGAAGAAATAAGCAGCTGAGACATTAGGTATCCCACCTTTTGCTCATATTTTTAATACTAAAAATACATACATGTACTCAATAATTATAAAAAACAAGAAGATGTGGTATGATTTCCAATGAGAAAACTCTCCACAAGAGACAAAATAACATATAAAGTAATAAACATGTTCTGACAAAAAAAGTACATATAATAAAATTAAATATTTACCTATGAACATAAATTAGAAGAGTTAAAATATATATGAGATTTACGAATAACTAATATCATTTAAAGTAGTTTCGGATAGTATAGTATAATCAACGACCTTATATATATATTCATTCAAACATTCTGTCCGCTATCAAATTATTATTATAAGCTTGAAGTAGTGACGCATACCAGTCTTGCATCCCTACCACTCAGTACGAAGAAAGTGCCCAAACCAACACCACCCAATTTCGAGCTATGTACCACGTGCTTAGAAAGATTATACATTGGAATTTATATATCATGCATATTTCATACGATGAATTTATAATCTTTTAATCAGTTTAATTTGGGTCTGGAGCTGGCATGTCAGTAACAACTAGTAGTCATTTGTTAGTTTATGTTATCATTGTCATTTTGCTTAGTTTTAGTTATTTCTCTTACCTATTCTGACATCGGACTCGGACTTCTTTTAAACTGAGTTATTGTGCGTATTGCTGTGTGTTTGTTTATTCTACATTGGCTAGAGGTATAAGGGAGGGTTGAGATCTCACAAAACATATTTAACCCCGCCGCATTTTTGCGCCTATCCCAAGTCAGGAACCTCTGGCCATTGTTGGTTTTTATTTAATTTCGGTTCATTTATATATTTCGGAGTTTACGTCCATTTTCTATGAACTAGTACACATTTTTGTTTAGGGGCCAGCTGAAGCTCGCCTTTGAGTGCGGGATTTTCTCGCTGTTTTGAAGACCCATTGGTGACCTTGGGCTGTTTTCTGCTCTGTGGTCGGGTTGTTGTCTTAATTTTATTCAAGTAATTATGGCACTATATTTTACTATTTAAATGTTCATATTATTTTTTATAAACTTGTAACCTTTACAATCACGGAACCGGGAATGAATTTCATTATTTATTCCAATGTGAGTTTCAAACAGTTGAACAGTTTTGTCGGTTTATATTGTCAGTCTTGATATCTTTATCACATCCATGTGAAGGATTTTTATAAACACAAAAGTATACAATCGTATTGGTTCACACTGTATTGGAAATCTGCTTTTCCGCGATAAAAATGTCATGACACAAGTGTATAAACATAGCTTCCCCCTTTTACAAAGTTATACATGTTATATATAATGAATTACTTACAAAAAAGTAAAATGACAAAAATAGCGAACTCCGAGGAAAATTCAAAACGGAAAGTCCCAAATCAAATGGCAAAATCAAAATTCAAACACATCAAACGGATGGATAACAACTTTCATATTCCTGAATTCGTAGAGGCATTTTCTTATGTAGGAAATGGTGGATTAAACCTGGTTTTATAGCTAGCTAAACCTATAACTTGTATGCCTTGTATTTTTTATTTACCGCAACAATTCATTTGTTTCTTGTTTCAAGCAATTTCAATTATATCATTTGTGTAACTAGAGTTTATATCTACATTAATTAGTGAGTTTTGTATCACATGATTATTAATCAGCCGTACAGCGTATTTAAACTTAAACACACAAGAAAAAAATATACCGCTTTAATGTGATCGGTAACATTGGATACAAATCTTGTTTTCAACATATAATAATATTTGATAGTATATAAGTCAGATAATGCATATTTCAAAGTTTGTCTTGTCGTATAACACAACCTTGGCGTGCCAAGATTACCCAAAGAAAGAACTCCATACGACCGGTCGTTCATTTGATAAATCATACCAACCCTCGGTATATTGTTTGACAAGAAAAACCTTCAAATATGTATTATCTTTATATATATTGTATCGTATGCACCATATTGTGTATATGATAACAGAAGGAGGTTCAATAATAATTGACATCCTTGTTCTTTTGTCTTAAACAGATAACTGTTGCATTAGAAATCATACAAAAACCCCTGATATTTTATACAATATTCCAGGCTGGGTCAAACATTATTTTGATATACCATAAGCCTAGTATAATAACATGTACAGATTTTTTTACTGTTACAATAACTGAACAATAAGTATTTGTTTACAGATAAAATAAAGACTTTCAGATATTTGATATTTTATAACGTAAACAATTGAAGATGTCGGAACATGTTGCCATTCTGCCAGGACTTTGGAAACTGAACTTGAATATTACATTTGAAAATGATATGAAGTTAACTGCTGATGCTGTAGATGGATTAAAGAAGCGTATAACCGACGAAAACATAATAGTTCATAATGTTCTTGAAAACATGATCGCCATCTTGAAAAACAAGTCATCTCGTGGAAAGATCGAATCAAGGAAATGCCTAGAAAATATACTGAGTCGCGATCCTAGAAACTTAAATGCATTAGCTGATATTGAACATCTTAGTCGTACTCAACACAGAACTTCCGAGGCCGATCAGTATAAAACAAGACTAGAAAATATTTTGCAAGGTCAAACTATTAATGATTTTCGAACAAAATCAGTATGTTTAATGGAACAAGGATATGCAATCCTGTATGAAGAATCTGCAAACATTGAACAAATTTCAAAAAACAGACTTTCCGAAAGCTATAGAATGTTATTGTCTGAACATAAAAAGGGAACAGGTCGAAGGAAAGATTACCTACAACGGTGCGTTTATCACAATAAACAGGCACTGAGCAATTTGCAGTTGGCAATCGAATGTAAAGGTCAAAGTGAAATGCTCACTAGAAAAATAACAGCTCTAGAGAAATTTGAGGAAGCAAAAAGTATATTTGATTTGATAAAAGAGAATATCATTTGGTCTTTTTACATAGGCGTAGCACTTAATAGAAAATACGATTCCATTGAAAGTTTAAGTAACGAAGATGGGAAAGATAGATCGGAAGAAATGAAAAATGTCACTTTGAAGGCAACTGATATATTTTGGAAAATAATTTCAAGTAAATGTCCAACTGACCAAAGTCTTGTTGTATATCAGGCAAGGTCGTTTGCCCTAATCGGACACATTCTTATTCGACGTAAACATTGTGTTCAAACATCTGAGGAAACGTATACTTTTACCAGCGATCAAGTTTTTCAAGTTTTTCTCAACAACCCCATTTTGCCGTTTGAGAAAGCACAAGAAATGATACAAAGTGACACGCTTATTCTTAATCGTTATGGAAGGGCATTATGGAATTTATCAGAACAACATCATGCCCGAACAGATAAGATAGATTTTCTTCGCAAGGCTGAACGTTTATTATCAAATTCCATAAAAGAGAGTTCTCTTAACTGGTTTGGTTATACTACTAGAATGTTAGTAAGAAAAGACATTGGACTTTTTTATATTGGAAACAATAAACCAAGAGCAAAATCTTTTTTTGAACTTGCAGTCAAAGATGGTTACCAGTGTTTCATTTCCAAAGGTACACCAAAAGCAATATGTCAACTTGCCGAAATTTGTCAGTTCTTAGGAAAATTTCCAGACATACGGAAGTACGGAATCAGATATGTTAAAGAAAACGAAAAACGGTATTTACTCGACGCTTTAGATTACTTAAATTTTGGACTCCACCAGGGCGGTCCAACTGACTATTTTCTCGCATATCATATGGGAACCGTATTATATGACTTAGATGAGATAAAATCTGCCATTGACTGGATGAAGCGAGCTGTGTCTTTATCTAATACGAATTCGAATATGGCACTGAAACTTGCATGTCAATATATGATAAAAAGATATATGAAGGAGGTAGATGAAAAACTCAATGTAGTTTATCTATTGAAAGAGTTTGTGTTTACAATGATGAAAGGGAAAGAAAAATATGAAAAGATCCCAGATGTTTATAAATTTATTTTCAAACACGAGAAAGAGGCTTTTATGAGAGTAATTGCAGATATTTTCAAGATACCACACATATTAGACGGGCCCAGGGTAAAGTTGATTACAGAGTGCATACAAACATGTACTCCATTGTTGACGAATGACATAGAAAATTCACAAATTTTCCATGAATACATTAGAGCAGTCCCAGAATTGAAACTTATGGATGACATTGAGCCACAGTTACAAGAAAGGTCTCAATCGAATACAGTTCCTATTGGACCAGGAAACAATAATTCACCAGAAGGATTTGTCTACGATTTTTTTGTATCTCATAGTCATAAAGATGCTGACTGGGTCTTGAGTCGTCTTGTAGCTGATTTAGAATCTGCATTCACAGATGACGATGTGGTTCTTAGGGGTAAGATATGTTAAAAGATACAGTAAACATATAATGTGTAAAGAGGAATAAGTTCAATATATATCGGGTCATAATCCTTTCATTAAAGCATGTGTATTACTCGTTGATAACAAAACACTTTATAAAAGTGATGCATTCCAATTGTTATTTGGGATAAACCTGCATCAGGAACGCTTAAATGAAATATTCAATACAAAAGACTTGAATATTTGAATATATAAGGATATGTTTGATTAATTTATGAACGGATAATGTATGAAAGATTACTAATGAGCTGACGATACACCCGAGGACTAGAAGTCCACCATCAATGGTATCGACCCTTTTATAGAAAATGAAAAAAAAACCGATTTCTAAGCCAAATTCAAAAAGAGTAAGTCCATAAAAACTGATAAAATCAAACGCTAGCAATCAAAGGAACAAGAGGAAACGACTGCCATATTCCTGACTTGGTACCAGCATTTTCCAAAATGTTGGGTTAAAATTACAGACAAAATTAACGCAAAGCTTCGCAAATGTATTAAAGATATGACAAGCATTCACAAATCACACATTAGAAAAGGAAATTATTCGTTTAATGGTGGGTTGTATTTACAATTCTCCCACTGTGAAAAAAAAAAAATCTACAAATATTTTTTATGTTTTAGGTTGTATAGCGGATCGTGATTTTGAACCTGGTAAATTCATATTTGAAAATATTGAAAATTCTCTCAGGAAAAGTTCAAAGATATTATTGGTTATAACCAATAATTTTGTTAGCAGCTACTGGTGTCAGTTTGAAACCAGTCAAGCATTACTTGAGTCAATGGAATCTAGAAAAGATTGTATAATTCCACTTTATCTTGAAGAGTGTAATATTCCAGATAAACTAAGACATATAACATATGCTGATTTTACTAAAGATGATGAGTATATTTTCGAAATTATGAAACTTAAAAGAGCCCTCCTGCCTGAATGATCAGTAGGTTATACTCTAATTTATTGTTTTTCAGATCTAGGCAATTGTAATAATGCTGAACATAATTATGTTGATAAATAATTTGTCATCTAATTTGTGTGCAAAAAAATGTTTATAATATGAAAAAAGTATACCAATATGAGTATTAATATCATTGTAAGTCAGAATACAAATACAGAAACAAATGGAAAATAAAGCAGTACATGTCACAACATACAAAGTGTATCTCGAAATGATAGATAATATTCATGTCATGTAATGTACTAAATCAAGAAAGAAAAAAACTTTTAGTTTATATAAATACATATTCAAACACATACTGAGCTCGAGTTATCCTAGTTTTTAGAAAATGTGTAAGAGTCATAATAATAAATGTACGGGTCATTCCTTCTGGTTATGCTTTACTTTGATATTTGATGTTGGATTGTTTACAAGCGCTCTAATAGCATGATACTGTGTATATGAAAATAACACTTAATTAAGTCCGAAATATTATACGTAACCATGTAATTTACTTGTTAATGAATAATAAAGTTCATTCATTCTAAATTCAAAATAAAATGAATAAACGAAAGTCGATATAATAGGTTATCCTGTTTGCATATGTGATCATAAAAGTCCAGGTCATGTTCTGATACACATGATATAGGTGTCAGAGGAATGAACTTGACATGGTAAAGTCAGGAGCCTCTTGTTCAGTGGTTGGCGTTTGTTGGTGTGCTTCATAAGTGTTTCTCGTTTCTCGTTTTTTATAAATACAAGGCTGTTTGTTTTCCTGTTTGAATTGTTTTACACTTGTCATTTCGAGGCCCTTTATAGCTTGCTGTACGGTGTGAGCCAAGGCTCCGTATTGAGGGCCGTACTTTGACCTATAATTGTTTACTTTTTATACACTGTGACTTGGGTGGAGAGTTGTCTCATTTGCACTCTTATACCATCCTCTTATATATATTGACAAAATGTTATATTCATGATTGCGTCACGCTGGATGCTTCAAGTTGAGACATTAAGACATGTGGATGTTGACGTAGTTCGTAGTGTATTTATGGAAAAAAAATGACTAAGATATTTGTCATTAAAGTCGACTCCCAGCTTAAGCTCGGTTGACGACTTCGGTCTACGTCCGTTATAACGTTTTATTGGAATCAGAAATAGAATTAGAACATGAAAATCATGATACTGATTAATTGGCATTATATCACTTTTCAAAATATGTAATACTATAATAACAGCGAATTCAAATATTTAATGGATACTTCTCTTAAAAATTATGTCTCTACCAACTAGATACATATTATATAGTGTGGATTCGCATGATGGGTGATGCGTTCATTGCAGGAGACGGTTACCCTGTCGACACCCGAACTGGTTCATTTTAGAGTTCATACGATTCCCTCAATTTTTGTTTGTTACTTTGCTTTGTATTTTCTAAACTGATTTATGAGATTTGAACATCGGTAAACTAATGTTTCCGAAATTTACTTAAACGAGCATACCGAGTGGCTATCCTCAATCATGAATATCCGAGTTCATTTTTTAATTTGATGGTTAACGACAAAAAATTAACGAAAAAGCTGATATCTCGACAGTACTGACTAGAGATTAGAGCGATGTAGTTACAGAAATATTTAGCAAGAAACATAAAGACAATTGTCATAACTACAATCCCGTCCCCTTCTCCCGGAAACTGACCTACCGAATAAGACTTACCACCAGGTGTGTACTTACATGAGCAACTTGACGGGTGCCACATATGGAGCAGTATCTGCTCACTCTTCCGGAGCACATTAGATCACCCCTAGTTTTTGATGAGGTTCGTGTAGCCTAATCTTCAGCGAAAATCGTTTATGAGATTAAAATAATGCGAAGTAATGCGATGACCAATATGACAACTATCCATCAAAGATCATAGGACGTGATTGTAAGCAATGATATGTCGCTGTTCGGAGTTTAAAATGATTGAAACCCTTTCCATGTAATAAGCTATAGAAAAGCTTGGCATGCCAAACTTTGAACAAATTAAAAAAGAATATATATGCTAAATCTATAAACGAAAAACAAATAAGACAGACAGATACTACCAACAACCTCTCAATAACAGGCTCTACATTTCAGACATGACTTTGAAATGGGGCGAGTTTAAAATATTTATGAGCGCTCTACCTCCCCCTACCTCGGACAGTGGTTTTATAGCACAATATTAGCACAACATGTACACCAGTACATTTGCAAACATTACTATAAAAGACTTGACTCATTAGATCGACATGTTGACAAACAAAACAGCTAAGAAACAAGTCATTTTCAGTTTTTTTTTCTAAATATTGATTTTATTCAAAATAAGCATTCACAGCATTTATACATAATTCTTATATGATTTGCATATCGTCAAATACTTGAATCGGATTGGTCCGTTTGAATATTTTGCTTTGGTTTATCTCATTAAAATGAAGTTTTTGAAGTAGGTGTTACTTAATTTTAGATTCTATAGCATTATTCGAACAGTTACGGATGTCACAAAGTTAATATAGCTGCTAATTCCTTTGTTACGACATGTCAATTGTGCATATGATGGTTAATAATAGACAATGAACAAAATATTGTTTATTATAAACATGCAAATGATTGCCTTGAGAATTATAAGGATTAAACACATTTTTTCAAGAGGTTATTGGTGTGTTAACTGGTCGCTTACTCACAAACTTTACATAAAGGTCCTTTTATTCAGTTTGTGAGTTAATCGCCTCAATTTACACATCAATAACCTTTAGAAAAAAAATATGTTTAATCCTATAATATACTCATCACTGTTAGGGAACGATCGCAATTTTTTCATTAAAAAAATATTTTCATTTCACTATGCGGATATTTCCGATGTAAGCGTATGTGAAGGATTACAGTTCACCCATATTACATGTGAGGTAAGGTTGATGGTGACGAGGCCTTACACCCACTTGCCCCGGAAACTACCGATAGTGAAATAAAGTTTTGATATATAATCATAATGTGTGTGTTTGTATCGTTAGATAATAGTATAGATTAGATTGTAGTGTCATTTAAGACACTATATATATAGAATAGCTGGCTTAAATATCTACTATAACGTATCGTTTATGGATACAAAGTAAAATATGTCATTGTACATTTCAAATCCCATAGTATTTACAATGTATTTGTTGATTTTGATTAAAGAAGGCGATGTTTATTAACCTAAACTTATCGACTATTTATGCAATTTTTATCTAAAAACAAAAAAGAGGCTTCAAACAAAAATAATATTGTCAGAATAAAAAAAGGGACATAAGTCATTTTTTTGTTCATATGTCATTGTATTGTTTGTTTGTTTTTTTTTATTAAGTGTTGCTGTTTTCATCTCCTGTTATTTTAATTTATTCATTAGTACATTTATTATATCATCGTAGTCTAATGTATAATGTAATCTCGTTGTTTAAAAAAACTATTACTAGTACTTTTGTAAAGTAAAGTCTGCTGTTTTAGCCGATTTTTGTAGACCAATCACGCTTAATAAAACCCTGGTATCATTGATGTGGTTTCTGCAATCAATACGAACTTTTGTATTTGTTTTTTTTTCAACTATCTTATGTTTTATTAGAACATGCTAAAAATTATCCGAAAACTACATTGAGATTTTAGTATAATAATAAATAATGTGTTTCTCCACCTTTTCATCTCGAACGTTTTGACAATTGAATGGACAAATTAATCTGTCAACTTTTAAAACAAGTTCTATACACGATGCAATTATAGTATGCATATCTTCATAGCTTTCAATGGTTAGGTTGTCAGGTTCTGTTTCATGTACAGAATAAAGTCACTACTGTGGGCAAAGTAATACTTGCTCATGTTTTCCTACATCTTCCCAATTCCTTTCTTCAGGTTTTATGCATCAAATTGCAAGCACGGAGGTTAAATTACACTGTGAAAAAAAATGTTAGGTCATGAATTTTTAGGTAAAGTATACGTAGTGATGTAGTCAGTTAGAAATGACAAAATTAGTATATCGGATGCTCTCAAACGGAATACCAGACTACAAGACCCCCTTCACATAAAATAGTCGATAGTTTGAGTTCTGGCTGATGACGTTTTCTATAATTTTGATATAGTTTGTCTCAAAATTAGCACAGTACACTGTTCAAATGTAATCAAAAAAAGCACAGGAGCAATTTTGTTGTCTGTCTTTAAAGTTAAAAAAAAAGCACTACAAACTAATTGAATTATCGGACTATATATTGCACACTAATGTTAGGGAGACCTTTATTTGTGTGGAAAAAATAATCTTATTTCACACTATGAATATTTCCGATGTGAGAGTATGTGAAGGATTACAGTTCACCAATATTACACGCTAGGTGAAGTTGATCGTGACGAGGCCTTACACCCACTTGCACCGGAAACTATAGACGGTGAAATATGGTTTGATATACAATCATATCATCTAGGTTTGTTATATAGATTAGCTGTTTTATATATCTACCAACAATGTATCGTTTATTTGTACAAAGTAAAATATGTCATTGTTAATTTCAAATTCTTTGCATTTACATTGTATTTGTTGTTTTGTAAAACAAGGCAATGCTTATAAACTTAAACTTATCGATTATTTATTGGTTTTTTTCCTTCCTGAAACAAAAAGGAGGCTTAGAACACAAACAAAATAATTCGAGTAAATAAAGTAACATAACCCAACATGTAATTTAATTTTTTTTATCATTGTTTTTTTTAATTTTTCCTCGGTTTTACATGTTAAAATATTTTGAGAACTTGAGATAATCGCCAGTGTTTTTGTGGGGTTCTTGATGCTCAGTTTTTTAGTTTTCTATGTTATGTTATGTAGTGTTTTGTGTACTATTATTTGTCTGATGGTCTTTTTCTTTTTAGCCATGGCGTTGTCTGTCAAATTTCGACTTATGAGAATGAATGTCATTTGAGTATCTTTCGCCTATCTTTAAAATCAAGGAATTTACCTCCCTCAAACAGGCTCTGATTCCTTGTCCGATTTAGGCTATATGTTTTGTTTTATTTGTTGTTTTTTTTTTTGTGCAGAAAAATGGTACCGTTAATGTTATTGCTGTGTTCATTTCCTTTCATATTAATATATTTCTTAGTAAATTTCACCTCCTTATATAAGAATTAA